ATACACCATTCCTAGAAGTAAGGATATACAGCAAAAAAGATATTTGTTCCTTTAGCAAAAATGTATTTTCGTGTATTTCAATGTATTTATTTGATAAAGACTACTTAGAACCTATTTAAAGTTTCCAATGGAAACTTGTAAGTTAGAAGAACTCTGGGCAGGAATAAAAGCCACACATTAATTACTGCAACTCTGAAATCATTAATACGATCTTTGTTTTTTTTACTGCAAGCAGTGTACGTTCCTTGAAATGAATTGGTATCATCCTCTTCTTAAGTCTACTGTTTACTCTGTACAACAGAATCCAGAGAAGTAGGGGGAGAAGTAGCACAAGCAGCCAATCATGTAAGTTGCAGTAGAATGAACATATTGGAGGAGAGAGCAGAGTGAAAGAGAGATTAGCTGTTTATCACAAATGTGTTTTTCAGCATTTTAACGTTTACCCTTTCACAGCTCTGCCTCAGGGTAGGGTTGGGGAAGAGCCTGCAAGTGAAAGTACAACTGCAAATATGAATTGCAACTCCAAAACTGTTAAATTTAATATATGATATACTTTGTGCTCTAATAGAAACATATAAATACATAGACTTTCAGTCATGTATACACTTTTCAAAATTATCTCTCAAATGTCCAAATAAAAAGGGTCCATTGACTGGAAGATCTTCTTACTGTCACCAGAGAAAGTAAAATACAAAATTAGCAGATACCAAACCACTGTTGATCACAATATGTGATATTAATTGTTAACATTTCTCCCAAGAATAGCTGGAATCCTATGCCCAAGAAATCACTTTGCCATTGACAGTTGGTCACTGGGATGTGATCGCTCGATTCTACTCCAGAGCTAAACACTCAAATCACCATAACATTGAATATGCAATTTTCTTCATATAATTAAGAAGAAGGGAAGTGGCTCATGGTGTAGCATTTTTTTTTTAAAACTTATCATCAAATACTAAAATAGTGCAATAAAAGCCAACATATAAACACTCACATGTGCGGTGTTGCTCGGCATCTTAGACAGTAGCTTGTGATGTCAGTAGGTGCAACAAGCTCTGGAGCTTTGAAGGGATTCACATATATCAGTCCCCATTGTGAGCTACCTGCATCTATTAAGAACTAGCACAAACATAATTTTTTGATAGAAAGTAAAACTGCAGAAAATGAAGTCCTCTCCCCTGCTAGACAGAACTGTACTGTGTGGTGGAGCTGTGCAGAAGTACAAATGCTTTGACAGGTAAAATAGTTATCATATGAAATACATATTTTTCCAGACGTTACGCCTTAAAGAAGAACTCCAGCGAAAACATTTTGTTTTCTAAAAGTGGGAAAGATGTGTAATTTCTGTTTGAATTTATAGCTGTCTTTGCTTCTATTAAGAAGCCTTGAAAGCAAAGAGACATTTTTTCAAAGGGGAGACCAAAACAGATATAGCCATTTTGCTACTCCATCCAAAGCTGTAAAAATACATTTTGGAAATCTTTGAGGCTGAGCTGAACTGTGGAAGCTTTTACCAATAAAAGTAAATAGAAAACAAAGGACCTAGTCATCTACATTGACTGTGGGACTCCCTGCAGCTGATCTTTTCCCCATTTTAGACTTACCATGCTTTGTTCTGCACTGTGTCTCTGTGTGGGATTGAGCATTTTTGTGGAGGAACCTGCTTTGCTTCACCATGATTAAACTGCCCACTGATTTCCAGTGATCTGAAAAATGGTGGATGAAATTTATTTTCTTTTACAATGAATTTTATTATAGACAGCACAACAACAAAGAAACAGTCAAAAGCAAGCTCAATGACACAAAAAAAAATAAGGTGTACAATTCTTCTGATGAGGGACATAACAAATGAACTGAAGTATTAACACGGAGAGAAACAGAGTACATAAACACAATATATATATAAAAGGATGGAATAAAACCTTATAAATTGCGTTAACAGCAAACAAGTAGTGACCAATGAGCTAGTGGACAAAGGCCAAGGATAGTCACCAAAGTCACATACAGATGATAGGAAAAGCTGAGCATGGAGTCTAACTGGACGCACATCGGAACTCTACACCAAGGACTCTCAAAAGTCTGACAGATATATAAAACATTACAGTCACGATTCTCTAGGAGTATCACAATCAGTGCATGTAACATGAAAACTGACAAAAACAAAAGAAAGAAAAGAAAGAAAAGAAAAGAGAAAAGCGAAGAAGGGAGAAACAAGAATAGTAAAGACAAAGAAAGGGCTCCAGGGGATCGCGCCAGGAGAGTCTTATATCGACAGTAGGGTCTGGTCAAATCTAGACGGTTGAGCCAAATCAATCAAGGGACGCCAGATCTGCAGAAACTTTTGTGTGGGTGTCTAACAACATGGCTGTTAGCTTCTCATTAACCATTATAAAATTCATCCAGTTCTTAACGGCTTCAAAGCTGAGAGGGGTTTTCCAAGCTCTCACGATCGTCAATTTGGTAGCTATAAATAGATGCGATGCTAACTACGGCTCAGGACGGAGTAGGCCTACTAATGGTTTAAATAATAGCACCTCGTATGGGTTGCGCTTAATATCTGTGTGTAGCATAGTGTGGAGAAGGGCATAGACCCTAATCTATAATCTGCATACCTTGGAGCAAGTCCACCAAATATGGGCCATGGTGCCTATTTGTTGACAACCCCGAAAGCAGGTCGGAGAATATGAGGGAACAAAATGAGCCAGCCCGGCAGGTGTATAATACCATCTGTAAAGGACCTTGTAGGCATTTTCTAATATAATAACATTCCTCGAGCATTTAGACATGCTCGAGTCATGATCCGCCAGTCTTGCTGAACTAGACAACCCCCGAGTTCCAATTGCCAGTGCTGATAAGAGCGAACCAGGGGTGCCCTATAAGAAATGACAGTGGAGTAGATAAGGGAGATCAAGCCTGGTGCATGAGGCCTGTGCTTGCAAAGACTTTCAAAAGGGGTCAGCCTATAGGGTTGGAGTTGGAGGTAGCTAAAATGTTACCTCAACGGGATGTCATGAGAAGAACGCAGAGACTCAAAAGTGAGTATCCGAGTAGGAGAGTGCAAGGAGTGTACGTCATTGAAGCCATGAGCTGGCCACCACACAAACTGTCCAGGATTGTCAAGGCCCAGGGGAAACAATGGGTTGTGGAATAGGCACATAAAAAGTAAGTGAGCAGAAATGAGACCAGCAGAATATTTGATGGAGTCCCAAAGTCAAAGCATCTGTTCTAATGTGCTAATGACTAAAAAGGGCAACAAACAGGGGGAGCCACAGCAAAGAAAAAAGTGGCCTTGGGTGGGAGTCCATCAGATCCACTGTGGCCCACAGGGGAATATTGCGAGACGCGTGAAGGTGGGCTAGTGGAGCAATATTCTTCGCTAAGTAGTATGCATTAAGATTTGGGACAGACAGTCCACCTTCATTCCTACTGGCAAATAAAATTCTTTTATTAATTCTAGGGTATTAGGAGCCTCAGATGAAAGACAGAAGCTTCCATTGATGAATGCGTAAGATATGTAAAGGGTCAGGGATCAGTAAAACTGAAACACATATAATAATTTAGGGAGATAAGTCATACGGATCACATTAATTCTACAGAACCACGGAAGCAGAAGATGAGCCCAAGAAGACAACATTTCCATCAAGTCCTTAAAGACAGAGGGGAAATTAGCCTGATACAGTCCTTTGTAAGACGGTGTGATCTTAATCCCCAGGTATGGCAAGACCGAAAGCCATTGAAAAGAAAATTATTGTTTCAGTGTTGCCAGCAGTGAGGGGGAAAGGGTAATAGACATGGCTTTAGATTTAGCAGGATTGACATAGAGGCCTGAAAGAGCAGCGAAGGAGTCCAGAACCGCCAGTAAGGTTGGGCAGAGTACCCCCGGATTAGTAACAGACAGCAATATATCGTCCGCAAACAATGACAACTTATGCTGGGAACTGGCTACATCCAGCTCCTAAATATCAGGATGCATACAGATGGCCTCTGCCAGGGGCTCCAAAGCCAAGATAAATAATATGGGAGAGAGCGGGCAGTCCTGTCTAGTTCCTCTACCAATCGAAAACATCGAGAACTCAAAACCACAGTATTTAAGTTTTGCTTGGGGGGCGGGTATATAGTGCCGAAATTCAACTCAGGAATGAGGGACCAAAACCAAAATGGTGAAGGACCGACATGAGGTAAGGCCAGGATAAGGTTTTGAAGGCCTTATTAACATACAGGGATAAGAGCATCATTTTAATGTTGCGAGTGTGAGCCTGGTGTAACTGTAAAATTTGTCTGATTGCGTCCCCTGCTTGCCTATGGGGGACAAATCCCACCTGGTCTTTTTTGATCAGGCGGGAAAGAAAAGAGTTGAAACGGGTAGCTAAACTTTTTGCAAGGATTTTCATATCGACGTTGATAAGAGAGATTGGCCTATAATTCGCCCAAGAGGAATGGTCCAGGTCCAGTTTCGGGATCATGACCACATTAGCAGTTAGCAAGTCGGGAAAAAAGCTGAACCTCCTTTCACCACATTAAACAAGGCTGTGAGGTGAGGGGCCAGAACATCAGCCAGTTTCTTATAGTACAAGGCCGTGTAGCCATCAGGTCCTGGATGTTTGCTTGTCTTAAAATCGACGATACAGTGCAAGACTTCCAGTACTTCAATATCACAGTCCATCAAATCTCTATGAGCTTGAGTCAGAGTAGGCAAAGACAGTCAAGACAAAAAGTCAGAGACAGCATGGGGTTCAGCGCGAGTGGGGTCTGTGTAAAGCTTAGCAAGGCGGTACCGAAACTCCTCCAACACCTTTGCAGGATTACTAGTCAGGACATTATGACGAGGTGGATGAAAATTCAAGAAGCAACAGAAGAGTTGGAGGAAGCACAGATCCATATAATGAATACAGCAATGTACACTTTATTGCCAAAAGTATTGTGACACCCCTCCAGATCATTTTATTCAGGTGTTCCAATCACCTCCATGGACAGAGGTGTATAAAATCAAGCACCTAGGCATGCAGACTGCTGCTACAAACATTTGTGAAAGAATGGGTCGCTCTCAGGAGCTTAGTGAATTCAAGTGTGGTACCGTTATAGGTTGTCACATGTGCAATAAGCCCATCTGGGAAATTTCCTTGCTACTAAATATTCCACAGTTAACTGTTAGTAGTATTATAACAACATGGAAGCAACTGGGAACAACAGCCACGAAGTGGTAAGCCATGTAAAATGACAGAGCTGGGTCAGTGCATGCTGAAGCGCACAGTGCACAGAAATAGCCAACTGTCTGAGGAGTCAATAGCTAAAGACCTTTAAACCTCATGTGGCCTTCAGATTAGCACAACAACAGTGTATAGAGAGCTTCATGGAATGAGTTTCGATAACGGAGCAGCTGCATCCAAGCCTTACATCCTCAAGTGCAATGCAAAGTGTCGGATGCAGTGGTGTGGTGTGCCACTGGACTCTAGAGCAGTGGAGACGTGTTCTCTGGACTCACAAATCATGCTTCTTTGTCTGGCAATCCAATGTACATATCTGGGTTTGGCGGTTTCCAGGGGAACGGTACTTGCCTGACTGTACTGTGCCAAGTGTAAAGTTTGTTGGAGGGGGGATTATGGTGTAGTGTTGTTTTTCAGGGGTTGGGCTTCGCTCCTTAGTTCCAGTGAAGGGAACTCTTAAGGGGTCAGCATACCAAGACAATTTGGACAATTTCATGCTCCCAACATTGTGGGAACAGTTTGGGGATGGCCCCTTTCTGTTTCAACATGACTGCGTACCAGTGCGCAAAGAAAGGTCCATAAAGACATGGATGAGCGAGTTTGGGGTGGAGGAACCTGACTGGCCTGCACAGAGTGCTGACCTCAACCAGATAGAACACCTTTGTGATGAATTAGAACAGAGACTGCAAACCAGGCTTTCTGGTCCGACATCAGTGCCTGACCTCACAAATGCGCTTCTGGAAGAATGGTCAAACATTCCCATGGACACACTCCTAAACCTTGTGGGCAACCTTCCCAGAAGAGTTGAAGCAAAGGGTGGGCCAACTCAATATTGAACCCCATGGACTAAGACTGGGATGCCATTAAAGTTCATGTGCATGTAAAGGCAGGTGTCCTAATACATTTGGCAATATAGTGTAGCTGAAGCAGGGAGATCCTTGCACTAAATGCACTCAGGTATATCTTGCTCTCCAGCAAGGAGAACAGTGAGCAGCAGTGTAGTGGTATCACTAAATTTTACTTCAACTCTTTAGAGACTAGCAGTCACAGGTGCCAGTGTTCTAGACCTCATACAGCAGATATACAGCTATAAAGCTGTAGGCACAGGAACTGCACAGCTATTTTTTAAGTGGAATTGAAGATCAAAGGTAAACCTTTTAGGGCATTTTGTAGACACAATCAACATTTCTAGATGTCCCTGATAAGTTGGAAAATCTTTACTTTTTTTCTTCATATCCACTATGAAAAGGGTGAAATAATACCTATGCATCCGGTTACCAGGTATTTAGCTCTCTAACGAAACATGGAGAGCTTCATCATTCTGTGCATAGGCCGTGTAATATGCAATTCAAAAGGATCATTTTTTTTTAAATTGTCTGTTTGTGAGGCTGGTGGAACAGTAATTGAGTCATATTTGAGAGTACACATACAGTGCCATAGGTGTATAGTTTGTACAGCAAGATAACATTTGTATTGCACAATTATATTACTTATCAATTAAAGACAACATATTTGAAATTCTACCTAAAATCTACATAATTCTAAAACCCAGTCATCACGGGTTCTTTCAAAGGCTATAACCAGTGGGTTTAACTTGCCACCCCTTCCTACACCCTTGACATCTATTGAACCCTAGTAAAGGAAATCCTTTTGACAACAATTTTCTTAAGAATGTTATTTTAAAGTGAAAAACTGTGTCTTTTCAGTTGGGGATAGAATATGCAACAAATGTGCTTCCATTGTCATCTACTGCATATTGCAGTGAATTTGCTTAGAAAATAGTCTGGATCTGAATCTTCTTAAGTTGCCAAGTGATGCAGGTAGTGCAATTTAGTGTGACATTCCGGAGGCAAGCACTAGAATGTATCTGAAATGTGTCACAGTAAAAGGCCAGAAAAATTGTAAAGTAATTGTATTGTATTTTCACTGCTCAGCTTTCACCAATGAAACCAGGGACATAAATTCTAATTGCTTTGGACAGTCGAAGCTGTCAATCCACAAGAGCATGTCGGAGGCAGCCTTGGCTACATCAGTAACCTAATTACAGAAAGCCTGGCTCTTCACCAATGTTTTAACACTTGATTTATTTCCTGTTCAACTTGTTCAATAGAGCTAGAGTTAATTGGTTTTTTGAATGAGTGTTAAAATATAAGGATCTGGCTTCATTAAAGGAAGGCTTCAGTTATTAAGCTTCACTGAGTTTAGAGTCCATTTACAGGTTAGCAAAACTGAAAGCATTGGCTTCTTGTGCAAATCATCAAATTTGAAAGGGAAGCTTGCTGTAATGTGATTTTGTGTAGCGGGTGTAGGCGCAGAGACAATTGCTAAAAACATTCTGTAGATTGGATAAAAAAGGGATTGTCGGGGGACATATTCTACAGTTTCTTGTATTTGTCAATTTACATTAAAGTAGCTACAAAAAATATGACACAATAAACACTATTTAAAGCAGAACTAAAATACATTTATTAATGCAAACACTGAAATTGTAAGTTAAAAATCACAAACGTTCACTTGCAAATTTGTGTTACCCTTGGATTATAAAATATTTCATATTTTCCATTTACCATCATGCCTAATTTGTTAATTAGCATTAGTAAGAGGTAAGGCTCCCTTTCACATGGGCGGTCTGTTTTTTTCATCAGTTCACTCACGTTTTTTACAAAGAAAAAACAGATCAGTTTACATCCCTTTTTTTACATCCTTTACCAATACAAAAACAGCTGCAAAACGGACCATATGTCCGTCTACAGCCCTTTTTTACATCCTTTACCAATGCAAAAATGGATTACAAAATGGACCGTATGTCCGTTTACATCCCTTTTTTTTTCTCTGTTCCATTTTTTTATGGAAGAAAAATAGGGCTTTCTTCCGTTAAAAAAAAATGGATGTTAACGGATGCGGAAATTAACTGATGTACACAGATGATCATCTGCTTACATCCGCTAGTCCATAGAAATACATGGGGGTCCGTTTTTCATCCATAAATGCACGGATGAAGAACGGACATACAGAACGCCCATATGACAGGACCCTAAGGAAGGGGTTATACTATTTGAGGAAAGGGATAGAAAGGAATGTGTTTTTTTTTTTTTTTTACTTTTTATTATAGCCTTTTCCAGGAACCTGGTGTGTTAGATCATTTTTATCCTAACACGGGGCAGGATTGAGAGGAGCTATATTGTTCTGTTCAGTGATTGGCTCTGCCCCTTTGTAAATGTAGTTGCATAATGACATACTAAGAGGGAGATGTGGAAAGTCTAAGACCTCTGGCTTGTTCATTGAGGAGAGCTGAAAACCAGAGATCATAGAGAATACCAAATCCTGCACTGTACCTGCTCAGCAGCTGAGAGAACTTTTGAAAAAGCCACACAACACTAAAGCCAGCTATTGACAGATCAAAATTCAACCGGCTCAGCAGGAACAACTTCAGTATAACCAGCCTATCATTTTTTTTGTATGATCACTGCTGCTGGCTGTAGCTGGCAGCAGTGATCATTGTGTTCTGACAGTGCAGGAACCTCACACTGTCAGAATACAATAGCGAAGCGGGAAAGGGGGATTCTCCCATTGACTCTGACTGTGCTGATGGAGGAATCTGGTGATTTCCTTCAACCTATGGTAGAAGGAAAGAAGTTTGATAATTTATGGCCAGTATTTTGGAGTTTATTTATAAAACACTTAGGAATTTATTTATAAAGCAGCAAATGTGACTTTCACAAACATTCTATGGTGGAGAACCATCCAGGTGCATTTGTTATATAGTGTATAGTGTAGTATATAGGGTGTATAGTTTTACAAGTGTACATGTACCATATACACTATTTTTAACTTGCCGATTCGGGAGTGTTTTCATTAAAAAAAAGTTCCGCTTCAAAGACCGAGGTTCTGAGGTTTAACATTATTTACACATTCATGTTTATTTCTCATTATTTACATATTCTTTCTTTTTTCACTTTTTATACATTTCATGCATTACATTTACGAGTCAATGAACCCACATCTTTTAATCTTTTGCTATTGTTAATTTTCTATTCCAACCGACTCAAAGAGTAGAACATGGAAAGCTATGTAAGACATGGCAACTGATGGTGAGATGAAGTTTAGGCAACTGATAGCCAATAGCGTGGATTGCTTTGGGATGACCTTATATACAGCTACCTGAACATTCCAATTATCTCTCTCCTACAAAGCACTTCAGCAAAATGCTGTATAATGCTGATTACAAAGCTAGTGCATTTTCTGTTTCTGCTATAGCTTCCTTTATTTTTTCATGATTGTATTTTTTTATTAAAGCTTTAACAATAAAACACATTAACCTCCTCCCGCAGGCCGAACGCTCTCAGAGTAAGAGGCCACATATATGCATACCAAAAAGTAAACAATGCTGTGCTAAGAGTGTATGCCATGTGCACTCCTGGCACAGTTACCAGTGGGTAACAGAAAGCTCCCGATCTCTCTTTCTGCTCATGTGACCCCTGTGACAGCCAACCATGGTGGTCACGTGACTGAAATGCCTGACTCCACTTCCTGGCATCTGAAAACTGTTAAAGGGGCAGGAAACTCAAGCGGGAAGGGGTAAATGACAATGCATACATAGAATGAAATAAAATGCCTGACTGTTACAGACAAAAAGCCAGTATACATTGCATGCACTTAGTAATGAGAAAACAGAATTTTTGTCTACCAGAATGAGCAATTAGAAAACAAGAATGTTGTAGCTAATACAGCATACAGTTATAGTAAAAAATTTTGTAATGATTCCTCCAGGGTAGAAAGATAGATAGGGAAGAATGCATTTGTACTCAGGAGAGAACGTTCTGCAGAAGTACACTGTATATTAGGAATCAAAAGTGTGCATGAGACAAATAATCTTAAAACAATTTGGGTGGGTATGACTAACTAATCAGATACTAGCCTGGGTTAACACCCCAAGTGGTGACTAAAGTAAACTATATGAAATTCAAACAATCATAGAAAATATTCACACCAGGATGATAATAACGATATACCTTCCTGAAACATTGGCTATGGGTATTAGTTCCTATATTTTCATTACTCAGCCCTGTGCTATCAGTGTCAAATCAATTTATAAGACAATATTAAGTATTAGAATCAGTGTCATTAATTTTCAACACAATCTATGTATTATGTATACGTGGATAACTCCTGCTCTACCAAGTG